AGTATTCAGTTCCCAATTCTTCCACCTAAAAACCTACAACTCTCAAGAGTTATCAGCAGTCTTCTATCTTTCCACTCAAATTTCCGCTTCTATGCTTGCAACATATTTATAATAAACTCCAAGGAATAAAATAAGGTAAAGATGTAAGTTCAAAGCAGAAGATAATCTTTTGGAGTATTCGCATTTAATTTCTAAGTCAATAAAAATATTTCACTGAAACAAATTACGTTCACGTTGTCCCTAAAACCCAAACAAAACTGAAACATTGATGCACACAACAATAGTATATATCTAGTTTGTACTAATCCTTCTACCCTTCATGACTAATTTTCTAATGAACAGATGAATTGTCATGCTGTCCAATTTGTTATACCAAATTTTATTACAGCACCACATTTTTAATGCTACCTATTAAGTGCAAATATGTAAACTGTAAAAATTAACAACACATCAGTTATAATAATGAAAAAGAAATGGTTTCATAAATAGATCAGAAAGTAACAGATCAACAAATGATTTAGTGTAAAAAGGCGAGCAATTATAGCTAACAGTTATGAGTAGTAAATATTACTGCAAAAATCTATAAGACCATTACGAAAGTAAATTATAGATATCTCAAATATCAATTAAAAATTCAGAAAGAAAGGAACCACTTTTTACTCCTAAAGGTTGCAGTTTGATTACAGTCCAAAGAGTGAACAATAACAAAGACTGACAAAGTTTTGACCTTAGGAAATGTCTCGACTTTGACTTTGGTAAAAAAAGCCCGTACTTGCAACATTTTTTCATTTCAAAAGACTTTTGGAATAGAACCATTCACATAAAGAATTTAATAACTTCAGTGTTCAACTCTCTCGAATTAAGAGAAAATCATATTATCACACACCGAAATCATTATATCACTACAATCAGGATAACCGCAATACAAACGATTGTTACCAATCACAGTCATAATTTCATTCAAACCATACCTATTCACTATCATTACCTCGATTAAACCACAGTTTCGAAAAGTTTTAATAGAAATACTGGCATATATCATTATTCATTTTACTATATTCTAATAAAGAAGATAAAGTTTATGCAGAATTACTAAGTCACCTACTTGCTACTTGCTGTTACCACCGAAAAAAAAAGCACTCTAAAAATTAAAGATAACAATTATCATCGTATTAGGAACAGTAATTCTACTAACTGAAGTTACCAAATTTACCACAATTCTAATTTACGTTGCTTTCAAACATTCAAATATATCAACATCACATATATATGGAAATAACTCCAGAACATGTCGCTTCAACAGCAATGAAAAAAGATTTAAACATAAATAATGAGCAGAAAAACTGATGCAGACAGCTAATGAATTCAATAAAAGCAAGACTTACTTCACTTAAAAAAAATCTAGTCATTTCAATTAATCCTCAGCATCATAACCACATAATTCTTAATCAAAAAAATATCAATTGATGAAGGGAACAAAAAGAACTTTTATGTAATATCATATCGATCAGCAACTAACGTAACAACTGACACACTAACATAACTTATACTCATTTTATCAGTTATCACTTATACTCATTTTATCAACTTATACTCATTTTATCAGTTCATTATATATATAATATGGTGATTTAATTAAAAGTGTAACAGCGTTTTAAATGGACTGAATATTTCAATATTTTTGAACTCTCCAGTCAAAATTCACTACCTTTTAATTCGAATTTAAATTAGAAATACTAAATGAATTCCTTTTATAGGGCCGCGGCGTAGAAAAATCCAAAAAGGACAACAAACATTTCCGAATTTGTTTCAATTCAGTTTAGTAATTTTTATCCAGAGAAAAAATTTTTTTCTCGCATTGTTAGGTAATTTACAGCAGAACCATCCTTACAGTAAAGAAATATTTGAAAAGGATTGATACTATAGAAACAATAAAAGTAATAGCAGCAAACTATTTATGCTCTATTATATTATATTTCGCAATGATCTGCAGGAAACGCAATAAAATAGTAGTAAACTAACTTAAACCTCCCAAATATTGACAAAATTCGTACTAATAAAAAAAAAAAAATTCATAACCCATAAAAATTAATAACTCATACTGCCGTGAAAGCACTGTGATGTTATTAAACAACCAAATTACACCAGAAAACTATTAAAGAGAACCAAGCAACGTAGTGTCAATCAATATTTCCAACAAATCTATAAAGTTTCACTGAAAATCGAAAAAAAAAATAATATAATGTATGATACAATTGTCAAAATTCAAAGCGCTGAAAATTTATAAGAAGAAAAGACTTACGGATCGTCCGCTTCAGTTACAGTAAGCGGTACATTAGTTGCAATCGGTTCGGGTGCAAACGATGGTTGGACCATAACATTCGAATCAGGATGTTCCTGAAATCGCTATCAACTGTTTTCATAATTCATAAATAAACGTAAAGGTAAACAAAATGAAGCACAGCTTAATCTAAATAACAGAAAAATGTCCCATTATGACAAATGGGGAATGATTATGATAATATGCGTAACCAAAAATAGTACGTCTATATACAGAGTGACAGAATTTCAGCAAAGATATCTGTCTCAATGAATATCTAGAATAGTCACGGCTCACGTTTCTTTAAATCTTAAAGGAACTGAGAACAAAGTGATAGAACCAAGCAGTCATATACTCAATTAGGAAATTAATAAATTTCGGAAGGAAAGAAAAAATTTAAAATAATAGAAACCGATAGTGGTTGTAAATATGAAGTTGTAGCGGATGGCGTTCGGTAGAACTGGGGTGTGTGGGCAGGTGCTACTCCAGCATTAAGGACAGGCGCCGACGCTGCAGTTTGTAGTGACAATAAATTTTCGTGATCTGAGACTTTTCCCTGAAAAAAGAAGGGTATGCACAAGAAAAGTTATACTTACTACTAACTAAAAGATACAAAAATCAATAACTGCAATACACAGAAAGCAAATCAAATACACTAATCTTGCATGTTTAAACTGTTATGCACACTAAAACATATTTTCAAATGCTGCTAGTAAATCGAAGAAAAAGTTGTTATGTCCTCTAACTTTCTAAGATTAATTATGCAAACAATTTGAAAGAGCCGTCCATGTTAAATACTTATAAAACTCATAAGTAATCGTATCCAGCACGATTAAGCCATCAATGAATGAGACACTTTATTGAATGACTAGACAATTCTGATGGCTTTCTTCATGACCAAAAGTAAAAAATAATAAATACCTTAGTTTCAATAATAGTTGCATTATTGATCACAGGAGAAGTACTCGCTGAAGATGGAGTACCGTGTATTGGAGTTGCAGATGGAGGATCAATGGATGTAACAACGATTGTACTGGATTCTTTTCCTACATTTGATACGTCAGTCGCTTGTGATATTGCTAAAAACACCAGTATAAATGTTGATCGTTGACTAATTTTTCAAAAAAAAAAAAGAAAAAAAAAACCGTAAGACCAATTGTTTGCAAACACGGTTCACAATACGTTCAAAATAAGATCTTTACTTAAAACTAATTCCACTTTTGCAGTTTCTAACTAGGAAGTAAAAAAGCTACACTCAACAATCGAAAACCAAATGGATTTGTATCTGAGTAATAAAATAAAACCAGGACCTGTTCCACTCGTATCAGTTCCTGAAATCAAGTGTGGTTCATTTGCCGTATTATTCATTGTATCTGTTTGGCCATGGGAAATGAAAGTCCGACATCCGACCAGATTTTCAACAATATTGACTGCTATAAAAATAGCTGAGAATGTTAGATTGTCCTAGAAGCAGTCTAGTCTGATGCATTAGGCTTCAAATGCCCACTGCAACACCGTATAAAATGTGTTCAGTTCGGAAACTATTCACATTTTCTTTACAGCAGACAATAGAATAATTGAATGATTGTCAGTGGAAATGAAAGCATCAAAATTAAAATCAAATTACTCCGGTTTATACTCGTAAGTGCATTGTTTACCCAGTGCTATAGGTGTCAATGAAAGTATTCATCGCGAACCATAAGGGTACATCTAAAAATGACTGGGAAAAAGGTAAAACTGAATATACCTCTCATTATGGGTACAACCGAAAAACCTTGCTTCATCAAAAGTTTCAAGATATTTATTTCCCGAACATTCACTCAAAAATAACCTTCAAAAGACAAAAATGAAAATTGAATTTTCCAAAAAATCCTGTCCCTGTAATTCCCTTTTCAAACTTCTATAACACTGAAATATGATTTTATCATGACAAACTGAAAAAAAAAAACTGAAACTAATACAAATGAAATGTTACAATAACTTACGTAACGAATGTTTTTCTGATTTGTCCGTAAAGTCAATAATTGCACCAGTTTCCGATGTCTTGTCTTTATAATCCCAACATTTCCAACGGCCACGAGTAAAAGTCCCTGGAACAGGGACAACCTGCAAACAAATACACACTCCAATAAATATGTCACGCTGCAGGTTTATAACAAAAACCAGATTTAACAATATAAGCATATCCATGTAGTATTTGTCTATCACAGTGAAGGGGATATAAGCTTCTAGAATTAGTTGGAGGACATTTCTTCGCAAATTAAATTTATAATCATTATACCTAGTAATTTGGTATGCTAATTCGACTAACTTCTTCGGAATAACAAAAATGATGCCCTTCGATAAAAGCTGCATGAGTGAGAGAGAATAACCTGAAATTGCCGTTCTTTTGGTTTTGCAGCTGCCATCTCACTTGCTGCTTGTTCGTCGTTGTCTGTTGTGCTTATACCCATGGTAGTATTATACGAGTCGTTCTGTCACTGCATTGTCTAATCATTGACTGAAATAATATAACTAAGAACCAAGCATTCTGAATAAAATTTAAAAAACTGAAATTCTTTAAGTTCGGAACCCTGAATTGCGCGGATAACTCACAAAAGACTTCCATTATTTTCAGACTGGGAGAAAAACCCCCCAAACCACTTCCACTTAAAAAAAAAACCCCATGCAAAATCATAGCTTAATTACAACAAACCAAATCACGAATTGCACAGCGAGATAAGAGAACATTACGTAAATTGTAATCTCTGTGCTGTATACTTGCCTGCAAGTCAGATATAACTGAGTAGTTTTTGACAGCTCGGTGCTCTAAGTAATTGACAAAGGGTGGAAGGGGACTAACTGAAGCAGAAATTGGAAGTATCTGATGATAAGCACGTTGATCACAGCAAACACTAGGAAAAGTATTTGATAGTAGTGAAGCGCACATACTCTGCTCTTTTTGTTTGAAGCGAATACTAGAACTTCAGTAGAGTAATGCTCTTTAGCTGAAGTGGAAATTTAATTTAACTGTACGGTAGAAAAGAAGAATACTGTCTAAAGAAGAGGTTAAAAGTGAAAACAGGAGATATTAATAACAGTTTTGATTCTCTTGTTTGAATTAATACAGAGTCGAGAAGTACAAAAATGGTCGCTCATAGCCATAATAGCAGGAACTAATGATAAATCGATATGGAGCAAAAAAGGAGGTATGATTTTTGAACTTGAGTTTGAACTCACTTAAATTTATATATAACTCGAAATTAGATGTTTTGAGGGTGATGCAGTTTATCGTTTCATATTTTTTCTATGGCTAGAGTAATAAGATGCGTTTACGCAATAACCAGGTGTTTTGGAATACATGTGTTTCAGTGCGTATGTCATAACACCAAAAGAGAACCTAAAGATTCACTGAGACGGTATTCTTATGCACCATTCTGAATAGGTCATCACGATTGCTGGTGTTATCATATTGTTGTCATTGTATTTTTCAGGTTAATGGGAGACAACAATCGACAGAATCACTAAACTTATGAAATCGATGGAGCACCGGCAATATGAACAACGAAGTGCTGCAGTTGGTGATATCGGCGGGACACTAGATGACGCTAAAAGGCGACAAAGAGATGAACGGATAGTGTTGGAGTCAGTATATGGTGAAGACTTCCGCGATGCTGCCCAAAATGCTTGGAAGGTTTGTTGAATCGACTGATTATATTTGATTAATTGATCATTTTATATACGATTGATGTAAAAGGTCTCTCTCATTATCTCCATTATCTTCCATTTGCTTGTTTCCGTGAATGGTTCGTTGAAGCACATTATTAGATTAAAATGCTAACTGGTGATGTTTGTCAGATTTCATCTTTTCACTCAGCATTATCTGGCTTGAAATATAACTGTGTACATATCATAGATAACTTCACTTATGTTTTTTATTTGTTGTTGTGTCTCTAATCAATCGCTGAAGGTTAAAATCAGAAGATTCAGTAATTGTTCATAAACATTAGGTAAAACAGTTATTAGATGTCTGCAGTTGGATTTACCAAAGTAACAGTCATCATGCTGTTTACATATAAACTTTTTCTAACTTTTTCTGAAGAGTCTGTTATAAAAATTAGTCGATTTTTTTACAGATATGGCAACCACTTGACGTCATCCTGCATTTAAAACCTGTTCGATCAGTTAGCACCACCAGCGGCAAAATTTACGTCTCGTTAGATCTTCATGTAAAATGTCCAAAAACATATCCATTATATGGGTATGTGCAACATTTTGTTTTTTTATGCTACACAGTATGATAATAGCCAATATAATAATTTAAAATGTTTAAAACAGTCCTTTCAGTTTTTATGTTGTTCACTTAAAAACCTCAAAAATTTTATGAGGACAATTATTTATCCTTTAACAATTTTTCGCCAATTTCCGGTGTTATTTATAGGATACCATTGATTGCGCTAGAAAATATACAAGGTATTTCGCTGAGGGATATTGATAAACTTAAACAGATGCTAGATAATAAAGCAGCATCATTGAAAGGAAACGTGAGTAATCATTATTGACTTCGTTTTATCTAATTCATTACTTTTTTTAGTAAAAAATAAGTTCACGTAAATGATTGGAACATTTTTGATGAGTAAAAATTTTCAGGAAATTGTTCTAGAACTGTGCCAGGTGGTTCAAGAATTTCTATATGAACGAAATAAACCTCCAGAAGGATCTTTTTTCGATGGCATGTTACAGCAGCATGCAGCAGTGGAACATGAACGGAGGGTGCTGACGTTTCCTATGTAGCCTGTAGTACTTTTATTGCGGTTATCATATTAGGATGATTTAAGAATTTTTCCTCGTTAAGTTTTGAAAGAACTTTCTGAGATCCTTTAATGTTTTTACTAATATCTCAGAGACAACGAGTAAGATCGGAACAGCGTGATCGCGAGGATGTTGTAGCATTTCAAAAAATGCATGAAGAAAAACTGATGTGGCGGAAGGCTGAGGAAGGTGAACCCACGACACCAGTTGATGATAGTTCATACGAAACATTTTCCTGTATCGATGGTGTTCAAAGGCGGTTGACCAAAATGAACGATTTTAGGAGGCGGCCGAATATTAGTCCGTTCTGTCGGGAATGGTCAGCTGTGGATTATGCTACGGTAATTCAAGAAGTATTTCTAATAAAAGGGGATAAAGGCAGGGTGGAAGAAGCAGTTTCATGGTGATCAACCAGAAACAAGCTGACGAAAAACAAAAAAGTGTTGTAGAGTGTATCAACCAACGGAGTACAAATCAATTTAATCTGAATCTGAGGATTATCAAAATCTTGAAAGGCTATAATTGAAAAATGAAAGCAGTATTATTGTAAGAAAAAATCCTCATTGGCTATTAAGTATTCATGCGTTATGTCTACATATTATGGATATATTTTCACGAATACATTGTTATGTCATCTGAAATCAACTATTAGTCTAGCTATTTATGTTTTTGTTCTTCCTTCGTGGTGGTTGTTATTTCATTGTTATGTTCAATATTATTTCTTTGCTTCTAGGGCCATGAACTTTTTATTACGGAGTGGACATTTGCGGCGACAGCCAAGACGCCCATATCATCGCTTAAACCTTTTATTACTCATTTCAAACAGCTGGAAAAGAAATTAAAACAAATTTCAAGAATTTCTGTCACTGAGCCAACATTATGCAGTTATGAAATGCTTTGTGTGCAGAAGAATAAATTGACAGTTTCGGAAATTAATGTTTGGCAAGCTTTACTTCATATTACTTTTTCTGATTCTGGAAATATTTCTTGTGGATCGCATCGAATGATATGTATCAACACAGTAGTTTGTCTCTCAGATCGATTGAGCAGTGGGAGAACGGAGAGCAAGGACCAATCAGTATACTTCTATTTTAGCAAGAATATCAATTTTTTTGTTTTTAAGGAAGGTGTCATTTAAACTTCAAGTTAATTGCAGTGTTATAATTGGTCAAAATATCGATGGAAATGACCGGAATTTATCATCTCAAATTGATATTTTCGAAACCGATAAAGTTAGTGTACTGAGACTTGTGAAAAATAAACTTCCTTCTTTAGCACAGTAAAATAAACTTCACTTTATACTTGTTTCCTCATTAGAACAAACATCCGTGTTTGAATTTGCTATAACTTTCATTTTAAATTAGAAAATTTTGATTATTAGTTCATGATTTTTCATCTTTTTAGAATTTAGTTTTAAAAATTAAGATAAACCTTTCATTTCTTTGTCAATCAGAGTTATTATGTCTTTTTAATTTGCAGACACTTTTAGTTCGCCTTGCTGTCCAACTTTTAGATGGTTTGCGATTTCTTCACGAAAGAAATTTGGGACATTTTGATCTTGACCTGATGTCTATATGGATCACTGGCAAACGGAACTTTCGTTTATCTGATTATTTCCTGAGGTATATTGTGATTATTTTTGCGCTGAGTATAGTTATGGAACAAGTTTCAGAAAATTTTAAGTAAACTGGATAGGTCATAAGTTGATGAGATCTGAGGTCATTTGGAAGACTTTATGTAAATTTTTTGAGATATTTACTTATTTTTTATAATTTAGGTCACTGATTTTGGATCGATATAGGATTATCAAGGAATGTATCGAAATGGTCGGTGAAAATATCGCCTCCGGTTCTTCAATAGATAAATTGCCACATAATGATTTGGCTTCATTGGGCAACATTTTCAGCAAATTCAGGGGGCTTCCGGCGGTTGCGAACGATCCAGATTTTTCTAAAAATCTCGAAAGCTTCGTGAAAGCTTGTCGAAACACCAAAATCTTGAAAATCTTAATGGAACATCCCTTTTTACATCAAGGTTTCTACCAGTACTATAAGCCAGCTATATAAAAATCTATATTTTCAGGTATTTGCTCTGAAGAAGAGGTAGTGAGGTTGTTTTCAGATGATTTGTTCCAGTCTTTGATTGACGTTGAGAAAGAAGGCTTCCAGCAAATTGCGCATAGTAGGCTTCGAAACGAATTTATTTTTATCGAAATGTTGGGGAAAGGCGGTTTTGGTGATGTCATGTTGGCAAAGTAAGATTGACTACAGTTTTAAATGATTTTAAAACTAGCTGCATGATTATTAACCTTTTTTGATATCAAGTTTTGATTACCATTGTGCTTGTCAGCTCAAGAAAGGTTGCACTGAATGCCTAATCACTGTGATGAATAATTCGGATGGTTACGAAAGAATCATTGGTAACATTTGGCGAACAATAATAAAATTTGAAATAATATGCTTAGATATCATTCATTTCAGGAGCTAGATCTTATTTTCTTGTTGATTGCTTTAGCTTTCTTTCTCTTTTTATAGGAATAAACTGGATGGTAATGATTATGCGATCAAACGGATACCCTTAGATCCCAAGGATGAGCGATTCAGTCGAAAAGTTACACGCGAAGCGAAGCTGTTTTCGAAATTAAATCATCCAAATGTTGTTCGTTACTACAGTGCTTGGATTGAGCAAGCTTCTACTGTTACAAGAGAAGCTGGACCGGAAAGTAGTAGTAGTGAAGTAAATGTTAATAGTGGTCAAAAAGTGGGAACCGAAGGTATGTACTGATTATGTACTCTTATGGTACATTGTGATCTGAGTTAAATTTATTCAATTTGGGATCTAGTTTCGAAAGTCGAAACATCATTGTTCAACGTTATTTTCTTATAAATTATTCAAAAATTAACATCAAATTAGCATTACTTTTATATCGGAATTTAATGAATTGACTTGAATTTTAGTCAGATTCAATCCAATCCACTTAACCACCCGCTGTATTTTGAAAAATCACTTTTATTATGAAAAATTTCAGTTCACTTCTTTAAAGTAAATCAAATGATGTTTTAGCAAATGATGTTTAGATTCCTTGGTGCCCATGCAAATAAAGAATAACGAAAAAGTGGCAAAACGTTTAGCTGTAGA